GGGTGGACGGTTTGGCGGGTAGACGGGTTGGATTTAATTGGGTAGCTCAACCCAATTTCAACCCTCCTAATTGGTGGGTTAGCGGTTTGGCGGGTAGACGGGTTAGATTTAATTGGGTTATTAACGGGTTGGGTTGGATGGGTTTGACGGGTTAACGGTTTTTTATTGGCCCCTAGTTTTTAATAATATAATCTTTTCTTAGAATTCTCTATCTTTCATAATCCTTTCACCACGAGAGTTAATGGTTCAAATGTTGTTTTTAAGAACTCCTGTAGTATTGCATAAATTAGGAACTAGATCCGGACTTCTTTGACTCGAAAATCTTCCTCCAATTGATTCGAAACCCTTTATATCAACGAACAAGAACCCTAAATTTTTTCACTCGAGTTCACAACTGAAGTCTGAGTTCCATTTGGTGAAGGAAAGATGTCGACGCCACCGAATTCATCTGCATCTTCTTCTTCCCAATTCACTTATTCTAACAACAATGGTTCCTATTTTCCGATGCCCTTCCACCTTCAACAACCTCAGACCTATCCTACGGCTCCTCCTCCTCCTCCGCCTGCAGTGGTTCAATACCCCGCTCCACCATCCGGTTACCCTGCTCCGTCTACTTCTGTCCCTGGAGTCTACTTTCCTCAGTTCCAGCAGGTAATTTATCCCAATCCTACTAATTCATTTCAGTTGAGTATAAATTATTAAGTTATTACTTCTTTAATTCTTTAAAATGTTAATAAGTGATTCTGGACGATCATCTCTTCGAAGAAAATGGATAACTGTATCAAGTATTTGGCAATTACGAGCGTAGAACGATGCAGATGTTAAGTTTGCAAGAAATTGTACTTAGGTTGCCCACCAAACTACGAGCTAACTATTTGACACGTATGTTGAAGACCGATTCGACCATTTAAGAAAGCTGCCTTTCATTCTTGTACAAGTATATGCTCCAAGTCATTAACATATTTATCAAAAGAATATTGAAACCTCTTTCATTACATTAGCCAAGGAAGTCCTAATGTTGCTGGCCAAAATGTTTTTCGCATTTTCTTTCATAACCAGCAGAAGTAGCTTTTTTGCAAAACTGATTAGTATTTTTGTGTGTACTTTTAACCACTGTACACAAGTTGCTTTGATGATGGATAGACTAACATATAAGATCTTGATAGTTGATCAAAACGAGGGTGTTTATGTCGAAATATACACCTTGAAAGAATACCGAGTTGCCACTAGAACTTCGAATTTCAAACTTCTATGATGCATGGCAAGTTGTTGAGAAACATTAATAATCTTGAACCATAAAACTACGAGGCTCATTTCTATAAATCTTTTCACAGGAACGCATCAAGAAATGAGTTCTAGATTGCCAGTAACGTGTCCATTGATTAGTGGCAGCTTGAGCAATCATAATGCATGTGAAAATCATTTGACTGCGAGCTAAAGGGATTCCTAGTAATCCTTAACATTATTATACGAATATGCATCGGAAGATTTTCAGGTTTCAATTGTGAACGACTAGTGTTGCAACAATTCCTACTCATAACCTTGCTTCGAGACAAATTAGAGAAGTATCAAGACTTAGGGGGTGTTTACTAAACCACTTACCTTGGTAAGCGCTTACCGGTTAAAAACCTTACTGGGTGAACATAACAAGTACTGAGAATCTTACCCGGTAAGAGGGAAGGCAAGGATTGAGAGTCTTGCTCGGTGAGGATGATGACTCTTACCGTGTAAACGCTTACCAGGTTTTAAACACTTGCCAACAATCCATTTTGATGACCGAGAATGTTACACGATAAGGTAAGTGAGAGTGATGTCTCTTGCTGGTAAGTGCTTACTGTGTAAGTGTTTGGTAAACGGCCCCTTAGTTTCAATGTGGATTCCCACTTACAGTCAACATAATCTTTGTTAGAAAGATCAACATTGCAAGTCCCAATAACAAATGTTCCCTTTTTCTGTGATGATGAGCCAGAACCTGGAACCTATTTCTGAAAGCAAAATAAATATCTAGAATAGATGTAAATCAAAAATGATAAGGGGATAAATGAAACCATTAAGTTAAGGGGATAAATTAACATAAAAGATATAATGAGAAATAAAATGATCTAAATACTCTTAGTGTTACAAATCTAAGGTTGGTGAGTCACTTTGGAATGAAATATTGGAGCATCATAGGCATAAGATGAGCGTATGTAGGAGAGAGAATCTTGGGGAAGCCAAGGGCTCTGCGGAGTCAAGAACAATTCTGACAAAAGTAGGACTGGTGTCAATATATTTTTTATCTTCAAAGTTTATACTTGAGGTTGAGGGGTCATATGTAGGCACCAAAAAATTGGGGGCTACTGTAGGAGCAGGAGACGAAAATCTGACTAGAACTTTAGGATGCTCAATTATAGAATGACGAGAAACAAAAGATGAGTTTGATGTGCACAAGGAAAAATCGCTAAACTCAAGATTTTGACATTCGTTGAAACAATGTATCCTTGTAGGCTTGAACCATAAGACCTATATTCTTTTTATGTTGTGGAATAACCAATAAAGATGCAAAGAAGTAATTTAAGACGAAATTGTAATAGAAGATCCAAGTGATTTCAAAAGGTTCATCTACAAAGGTACCAAAATAACAAAGCCCTTAATTGACTCTGTATGAATGTTGCATAGCATCTACTTGGTTTTAAAAAGCGCGATGCGGTCCGATGCGTTAAGGGTCCCGGAAGCCGATGCGTGATGCGTGATGCTGATGCGCTCGCATCACGCACGTGATGCGCCCGGTATTCA